GAAAACTAGCGCTGTTCAAAGCGCAAAGCGTTCCACGTTTAATTAATATGACAGTAACTTCAGGGAGGTAAGTATCCTTCGCAGGCCAGCACTAAAGGAAACCTCTCACGTGTTTTAAAGTCTTCGGAAAACCTCGACTCTTTATGTGGGTTGTATTTATGGTGCATAATAAAAAATTTTGAAACTTCCAAAGAGCTACCACTGAAATCGGCATCACACTGTTGCGTTGATAAAGGTTTTGCACTTAGAGTAATATCAAAAAAACCAAAAGGTTTTGAAAAAAAAAATTGCTTTTAGAGTACTGTCCCTGTCAGTTACTGGCAGTGCTGTGAAGATGTGAGAGCAAGTAGCACTGGCATAAACAAGATGCCAGGCTCAACAAACAATTCCTGTTTGGCTTTTGCCAATGCTGTTACTCATTTTTAACTGATTTTTTTCTGGTTTTGCATTTCAAACATGAGAAACTCCAAGCTCTGTGCGAATAACATATAGGAATGGTTTGTGGTCCATTCAAACAACTCCTGTTTCAGTTGCCTTTTAACATGCTATTTATTTGTACTTTAAACACAGTTTTCCTCATGAGACAATTTGCCTTAAACTCCAGAAACATTAACTCCAAACAGAAAAGATGCCATAAAACAGACACCTTCCAGAGCGAAGTATGGGATGGATGCTTTGGACTCAACAGTTTTCATGACCCACCACAGAAATGTGAAGCCCTCTTTACTTCAATAGATTTATCCCTTTAAGCAAATGGTGTTAGCTGAACTCTACCATTTCCAAGGTCAACTTTCCAATAAAAGAAGAAAATACACTCAACTTTTTGGGACATAGCAAAACCACCGATTTGTCACATCAAGGAATTATAATGAACAAACTAGAAATATTTTCATCCTACTTCTGGAAGCATTAAATTACAACACCTTTAATGTGCCTGACTTACATCATCACTGTGAGACAATGAGAGGTTAGGACTGTGATAGGTGCACAGGATCGCCAAATCATAGAATTCCAGAAGTCTGGATTCCATTTCTTAGAATGTGCAAAGCATTTTCAGTAAAAACGCTGGCTCCTCTGAAATTCCATGAAAAACCTTCATTTCCATATCTGAAATGACAGTGACATGGGACTTTGGACTCAAACCCTGCAATGACATACAGCAGGTGTTCACACAAGGATGCCGTTTTAGATTTTCAGAACCCATCTACTGATATTCTGCTCGACTTAATCCAAATTGTTTCTATCCTCTCAGTTTATCTCAAGAGCAGAGAGAGGAGCACCAGCTACACCTACATAGCGCACTAGAGAATTGTTAAGCTATATGCGTCGTCATCACACCCAGCAGAATGATGTAGTCTACAAAGATTAAAATGGGACTCTCAAAAAAATTCAGATATAGAGTAGACCAATTATAAGGCAGAGTGTGCTCAAGAAAGAATCAAATACTCCTTTCTTAATTCTACTTTTAAGTTTTTATGCAATCATCAGATTGCTCTTGAAATCTAGGACTTTTGTTGAAGTTTTGTAGTGACATACAAAATGCAGTGTCTTATCAAGATGCTTGTAAAAACAAATAAAGACACTATAGCAAGTGCAAAATCATCAGTGAAAACCATCCAGTGACATCCAGCAAAAATCATCAGTGAAATCCATGTGGCACTGAGCCACCCAGTGGTTACTTTCAAGAAAATAAATGGCTTATTTTCAGAAATAGGAATCAACAGGTTGGACATATGAAGAATTCAGGTAACATAAAATGATACAAGGGCAGAATATATCTGCAATGCTTCCAGTTTGCTCTGTATCCTGAATACAAAACTTGACATCCTCTAAAGGCAACCTGAGCACGCCGGTTTTTAAATATTCCGCCAGTGACATTTTACCAACAAGTCTTCCCATGACACGGCAGTCGCTAAGGTCGCAAACTGGAACAGTCAATACAGTCATACTCACAGAACAAGTGATTTGTTCCAAGGGGGCAAGCAACAGAAAAAGAGAGCCTGAAGAACATATTTATCACTATCGTACAAGTGTGGTTTGCTAATCAGTAGACTTGCCATATAGGCCATTCTATGATTCTATGACTGATATCACCAAGTCCGTTCCCTGCTTCCTCACAAAACCATGTCATAGCCATAATAAACCATTGCTTAAAACTAATGTAATATCTTGGCTGGAAGCATATGCTGTGACCTAAGATTTTGCACTCTCCTTTTTAATTACAGGAATTCACAAGAAAATAAAAAGCAAGAAACGGAGCTCTTGAAATCTAACGCTTTTATTGAAGGTTTATAGTGACATACAAAATACAGTGTCTTATCAAGATGCTTGTAAAAACAAACAGAGACACTATAGCAAGTGCAAAAGAATTATCAAAACAATTTTGCATTGAAGATACAGGCTCCAAGGGAATCCTGTTTCAAAAAGGAACTCCTTAACAGTCTTCTCAGTAGTCTGTCTTCCTATGAGCTACTGCTCATTATCCTTTCTTTTTTTTTCTTTTTTTTTTTTTAATAGTCAGAGAACTCTTACATAAATATAACTACCTACAAAGTACCTGTTGGATTCAAGCACAACTATGTTGTAGTTTTCCCAGAAGACCAAAAAAATGTAGTTCTTGGAATCCTACCTGAGGAAACAATTTGTCAGGTTAAAGATAAATTGAAGTCCATTTCAGCAATATTGCGGATGCTGTCAGAATACACTTCTTTTTGCACTTCTCTCCATTTCAGTATTTGGTCTGCCAGCTCCTCCAAGTCCATCACAAGCACCTCTGTTTTTTTCATAGCAATGTCCTGAAGCAGAAAAGAGTTGGATTTCATCTCTATACATCCTGTCAGTCTAGCAGGACATAAGAGTAATCCAAACGACCAAACAGCACTGGATTCTTAATGCTGGAGGAGATGGAATGTTTGGTTCTTTTGCTACTCACCATATCCTTCATCATCTTCGGTATCTGAGGGATGCTTCTAACCGTCTGCAAATGGCTTTCAAGCCTCTCGATGAAAGTCACGGCCTCAGTCAACAACTCTACTATGTACCTGTAACCAAGAACGAGCTCCCTGCTCAAAAGTTGTGCAGACTAACGAGGATTTAATAATTCCAAACTCTTACTGCTTTTTCATGCAAGTTCTTAACCATCTCATTAATTTCTCTGCAATTACACCTCTGTTATGACTCTCAGCAACAAGTAGGGCAGGAATTACAGAAGTGAGTATGCACTTCCTTGCTAACTAGACTAGATTTTTAGACCAAAACAAGAAGGATTGTATTTTTAAAAAGATGTACTACTATGCATGTCTGGGAATCATTCACACACTTATTCTGAGCGAGTCACAGTGGAAGAAGACACCAGCTGCTGGAGTAACGGTTCCTACTTCTGGAGAAGCACAAGGAGTGAAGCATTTAACACATCAGTTTAAAACAACACATCACAAGTTGGTCTGTAATTTTCAGAAGACTAGACCAATAACTTAAGCAAATATTCACAAAAATATGTATCACTAGCCTTCTATGAATTTAGCAGTGAGTCAACTACTAGCTTTTAGCTGAGGTTGCACCTCCATTTTTTACTTCTATTCTTATCAATGGAGAAATGAATGAAACAATGTGATTTTTACTGCCTGTTAAATTAATTTAGACTCAGGCAACCAAAGAACAATTATTTTCCATATGCTTACTTGTGAAAAGTAGCCTCAATAGGCAGGCTCTCTTGACATCTGGGCTTTATCAACCTCTTTCTAAGAGCCCTCTTCTCTTTCAGCACAGCTTCCAAGTGCCTGTTCATATCTTGCAAAACCTCACATTTTTTGCCTATAAAATAAAATTGCAAAGTTGAACCTGTTCTCCTGCTAAGATAAGTGCAAAATTTCCTCTGAAGGAAGCCAGAGAGAAAAAAGCCTGATCTATTGCACCAGACAGTTTACACTAGAGAAAGATATAATTATTCAAAATTACTTTTGTTGGAGTAAATAGGACTCCAACATGCATGCACCTCAAGGTCATAACACCTAATTTTTAGAGATATAGCTTTGATAATTGCTTTACATTATCTATAATTTTAAGTAAACAGTCTCTGACAAGTCAAGACTTCTTAAATTATACCGTAGCACTGAAGTATTGCCATTCACACTGGCCTAATGCAGTAGTAGTGAGCTAGAGTGTTTTCAAGTATCCATCAAATTGTAGTAATAGAAATAGGAAATAATGAAGAAATGAATGCATCTGCTCCCAAAAGACTAAAATAAAAACCCAGGTAATTTCAGGCGCATACAGACACAGCAGAAATACACCAGTGGAGGCAGCTCTAGGAACTTTTAGAAGTGTCATGTACTCAGGTGGGACATCAGCCTGCAGCTGAAAAGTCACCTAAAGACTCCTGTCTTTTGAGGTACAACTGCACTTACCCAAATAAAAAGGGTGAGCAATGTCTGCTGTCTCTTTCTCCAGCTGCAGCATTTCAATTTTCAGCTTCACCTATAATAATAACACCAAATAAAAATGCATTTTTAATGTACTTATCCAGGTACTGGTGACTCTCTTGAGGTGGGAGAGGAAGTAGAAAGGGAGAAAGCGGGAGCAGGGAGGAGAGTGCGTGTGTGAAAGAGTGAGCATTTGCATGAGAGAATGTTGCCATGCTCTGGGGTATTTTTACTACTAGGTGGGACTTCTTCAGTCAATAGGAAAAGACTGTTTTAAAAAAAAAATAAATTTGGTGGTTTATTATGATCTTGTACTGGAGAAGACAGATCTTGCAATTCATTTATAAACCATAGAAACTTACATCTCCTGCAAAGCAGTTTCATAGTCTGTATTCTACTAGAGAACCTCTCATAGCCCCAAGTTTCCTCCTTCCGCTCAGACTGGTTTGTATTGGGTTGTCTGGGGGGGTTTTTAGCTGTGGGAGAAACTCTCTTAGGTGAAACTCCTAGCTTTAATTCTTTCCAATGATAAGCCAGCACAAGAGCAGCAGGTACCTGAAGGAGTTTTGGTCATTTTGGCTAGAGAAGACTGAAGATGACATATCAGTCTCTCAGGACACACAGAGAACTGTTGCTCGGCTTTTCTTGATCACTGAGGAGAAGATAAAAATAAATCTGCTTCACTCATGGGTTACTGAACATTTACCGGAGACAGTACTTTGTATGTGAAACCTTCCAGCAAAGGAGGCTAAGTAGCCACCTTACTGGGGGCTGGAAACTTCATTCCTTCTGCCTGCCAATATGGGAAGATACCAGCTGTTTTAACACATTCTCAAAAAAAAAAAACCAATTAAAAAAAGCTGAATCCGTCTCACTGCTTTGCAGTAAAGCTTTGTAGCTGCTGGGGCCCTCACTGAGTAACTTAATAAACACAGTTTTGTATCAGTGAGTAAATGCTGAGAAAACGTCATCATAAGATACAAGCCAACAGCCAATTCAGGCAGTAGGAAATGACTGAGGTTACCTCCTGCTAACCAACAAAATGGTCCAGTTGCTTAATAAAGAGACACATTTTTGTGATTTGAAGTCAACTATAAATTTTTATTTGTTCTTCAGAAAACCTCAGGTGACGCTTCAGTGAAAAATGCGGGCTGCTGCATCTTTCCAGTTTTGCTGAGAACTTTTGATTCATAAATTTCGGATTTTCTTTATGACAACTCAGTCCACTGGGGAAAAAGGGTCAACTGTCAAACAGCTGAACTGTAAAAAACCCAAACCTCCAAACACAAAACAACAGCACATGGCAGTCCCAGTCCCATACCTCATCAGGTACATCTATTATCTCTAAGCATTGAAGTGCTGAGTGTACACTGACAACAGCAAAGGTTGTACCTCATTGATTTCAGCTTGAAGGTTTGCAATCTTTTCCCTCTCTGAGAATTTCACAAAACATGGGTCTTCTCTACAGGTTAAATCCAATGTCTCCTGTGACAGAAAAACAACAGGAAAAAACCGCAGTCAGCAGCAAGAACACACCAGGCAAATTCTCAAGATTGGCATAAAGTTATTGTTAATCTCTTACACTACGCAACACAGTAAATTTCACCGGAAATGCATTAACTATTTTGGGAAAATGAACACAAATTAAAATAAAATTTCATGAAAGGCGGTATGAGAGCACTCCCAATGATACTGGATGCACACCACTGGAGTGCACTAGTGGGCATTAAAAACCTTCATGTCTACGCTCCAGAAAAACAGAGACCAGAAGGTATGGTCATTCCTAGTAAGGAAAGCTGCCTTCAGCCAAAAATGTAAGAGATCCCCCTGCCAAAGGAAAACCTTCTCTGCCTTTCAAATCATCAAACATTTATGTCAACAGTAACACGGTTTAGTGCTTTCCC